CGTGGCACTTGTTTCTACTAGCTTCTTGTTACTACTAGTAAGGCACTTGTTACTACTAGCGAGGCACTTGTAATTACATGCATTGAGCTACTCACAAGATCTGTCTCGGCCAAACTCTGCGGCTCCTCAACCTTGACCGTCTGTTTGACGAGCGGGTGAGACTTAAAGCAATGGTAATCCAACACAATGTCCCTGGGTGGCGGTTGATCCTCCAACATCATGTCCGTCTGGGTGAAAACTTAAAGCAATTGGACGAGACTCGAGACGAATCTGACTCACAACTGGAGTTTTGTTGTACCTACTATTCTACTCGGAGTTGGTCAAACCAAAGCAATTATTGAAGTATGCAGCTAGGACATTGAGTGAGCTTTAAGGCTTGTTCAACTGGCCTTCAGAGTCAAGAAACCGTAGTTATTGCTCAGTAGTACCTCCCTCACAAATTGTTCACTCTTCAGGTTTCAATCTCTTTCTGTGGCTCTGGCCCCAGGTGCTTCCACCTTGCTTCGAGTCCGGCGAACAAATTGTTCACGTCGAACAGAGTAGCCCTTGGCCACCCCATCGACAAGAATCGACCCAAATGTTAAGACCCGGAATCCAAACCTGTTTTCTTTAGCCCGCTCCCACTTATGTAATCAGTTAAGGCGACTGAGAAGTTCGCTCCTAGCTAGGACACAGGATAGCTCACGCATGCTCACGCTCACACTAGGGTTTTTTTGGTTCCTAGACTTTTAGGGGACCAATTGTTCAAATCCAAGGGACATCAAAGAAACCAGATATTCAAAACCCACAAATCCAATGGTACCCGAATATCAGCTTGTTGTAGTGATCTGCCTTCAACTGCTGAGAGCTACTGTCCTCAAGGGTTGACTGAGGGCCACACTGCACTCAGCTCTGGAGACTGCAGTTCCTCAGGAAGACTTGCCCGAACATCCTGGCAAAGCCCGCACAATTGGTGTTAAAAACTTCAATAGCTCGCATGATATCATATTATGCAGCTGTTATACTCTTACCTTACCCGTTCCTTATTGACTCTAAAACATTCTATAACAAACGTTATATTGTGCTTAGAGCGCACAAGTACTGTCTCTAATGAAAACACCATCTCACAAACCTCTTTGTTCACAACGCGTGGCATTGGGGCACCGGGCAGGACTTATGAAGCTGGGAGGCTCCTGTTTGCACAACGTCCAAGCCGCTTGTTGACTCTCTTGGCAAGGCTGCAATGGAATCGGAGCAGAAAGACATGACTTCGAATCAAGCCCCAGAACTCGGAAATTCGGAATTCAGATTGGTTTTTAAAGGGGGGTAGGCCGCTAGAGGTGAGGTAGTAGTAGGTAGAGGTAGCTAGTAAGGGAGAGGTCGCTAGTAGCTACAAGAACACTACTACTTAGGATGCAGGATAGCTCACGCATGCTCACGCTGGCACTAATGATTAGGTCTCAAGATTTTTTTGGGAAACTTAACTTAATAGTAGGTCAAAACCTGTCATTCTGAGCCCTATGCAACTGATAAGAGGCCCCTGCAATCTACACGGTTCACGCGCTCACACGGTCACACCTCCGTATCTAGTAGTGGAGCTGCCGCCTGTGCCAAAGAAGCTGGAGAAAGAGAGAGGCCTATCGGTCTAATGGTCTAAGCATGTCTAAGCCAACTCCACCGGCATAGCAACTCTGCGGTGGTGCAAGCTCTTTTCCGCGTCCATTGCTGAAGCTCGGTAGGTTCTCAAAGGGCGTGCGGGAGTTGGACACTTAAAGGCCAACACTGCTTTTAGCTGGCCAGTCGGAAATCATACTTCCAATCCAATTGGTGGACATAGGATGGCGATGGGCGCACAGACTTTGGCACAGCGCTGGACACGTCCCAAAAATTGGTCTGAAGTATCCGAACTACACAGGTTGGCTACACTAGGTTTTGCGCTTCTTGGGCAAAGGTTGGTGGTCGTGTGCCTCATTCCATTCCTTTACCCTTGGATGATTGTCCACACGCTCGATCAATGCGGTCAATAAAGGACAATCATCGAGAACACTTGCTTTGACACCCTCAGCATAATTGTCAGAGAGAAGTCCACTTCCCATGACCTGGGAGTTTGCAACAAGCAAATTGACACTGGGTTGTGGCCACGACTGCACTTTTGGTACAATACTGGGTGCGAGCATACTTGATTAACTTCTCCAATAAGAACATATAATATACTATAAACAAGAACAAAGGCCTCGTTATGTCAATGTGGGCGTCTATCTTTCTGCACTTGACCTCTGCTTCCAAGAGTGCACCAATGTCTGGTGCAACCGAGCCACGTAGAAGCTGATGTCACACGACATCATGTCTTCACCGCAAAAGTACGGTCCACCAGACTTTTTCAAGGCCCGCTCAAGTTGAGCAAAGCGGGCTGGGAGAACAGTCTCGTTTAAACCCTTCAGCACCTCGTCACGCATCGGTTCCGGGATTGGTACCATCGGTCCCTTGGTAATGGGATTTCGTCCCAAAATGGATCCATACCACACTGGAGGAAAGAGCTTCTTAATGTCGGTCAACGCTTCCTCAATGGAGTCGCAGCGAAGTTGCCTGAAGAGGGAGATCGAGTGGGAGCTAAAGGCCCCTTTCAAGAATTCCTGGACAATAAAAGGTGACTCTGAGGAAAACCTTCTTTGCGTGAACATCCACACACAAACATGAACAACCGCTAATGGCCAATTTGCCAGTTATCTTGTTCTCCGACTCAAATAGCTCTTCACTTAAACTACTAGTTTTTTTTTGTCGTTGGAAGATCAAGGCATACATAGTTATATACATATTCCAAACATATGCCACTCTTCCACCCCAGCTGCTGCATAGTTTCTGTGGGATATAATCCAGCTCGTCGCCCAGCCCAGCGCAAGATCGCCACAGATTGTGAGAAGATCTCCCCGTCCACCTCAAGGATGGGCACTTGGCCATAAGGTAGTTTGCCTCCGCATCAGCATGGGAAAAAGAGCGTCTAAAGCGGTCACTCAGCGGGCATGGGAAGGTGAGCATCTGCAAGATGTTACGTTCGTAACGTATCAATGACAAGTCTTGAATACTATCATAGAAACTCATATCGTATCCTTCCACGTCTTGTTGTTCATATTCATTCTGGTTCTGACTGAGTCTGCCACATGCCAATCAAACATCGCTGTGGGACATGCCGACTCTCACCTAACCACATCCTCAGATCACGAGATCAATCTGCCAACATCCTCGCCCTGCCTTGGTCGTTCAACTCCTTGACGCCTTCATAGCTCACCCGGTGATCGATAAAGTCGATTTTCCCGACGTAGAGCGTGAGCCGGATGCCTTCACCAAAGCCCTTCACATCCAAGTACGTGAGCTTGGGCTTCGCCATGGCGTACAAAGACCGGAACATGCACCAGACTTGGAATGCGAAAACGGACACGGGTGACTGCAAGAGTACACGTGAGACGTGAAATGGGTTTCTTGTTGAAAAGGCATAGTTTCAAACAGGAATAACTGACAAGTTACAGTGGCGAACATCGAACTTCGAGATGGGTGACAACTCATGCGTTGCAACCGATGACAGGGGACTCAAAGTGCAGCTGAGCCCGGGAAGTGGACACTGCAAATGGGTATCTAACATGAATCAAACTGTCTAATGACATGTTGTAAATCGCTGCTCCCCAGGTACATCACACGCCACTTTAGAAGGTTTGTGCTAGAATACTGCGGACACAAATCTCCGCACTGGCAAGTTCAATACAACATCCCATTGGCAGGAGTGAACCCAGTAGGAGTTTTGCGGGGTTGACCTTACCATCAGATTTGAGGAACCATGAAATCAGTTTGGCTAGACAGAGTGCCCCCTCTGCTCCCTTCCCAAATGTGCTGAAAGCAGTTGAAAGCCACAAGATGTCCCGTGCTTTTCCCGAGTCTAAACACAATCATAAATTACCAAGCAAAGCTGTATGATTCCATCACATTATACATTGCGATCATAATGCAATTGATGCAAGCAGCATATACAGAATCAGTGCGCACTTCCCAGGCATGAATGCCCAAGCCGGGCCGTTAGGAAAGCCCAGCACTCCTGGCCCAAGGACAGAGCCTCTGCTTCCAGATCTTGTGGGTCTGGTGCTGCAGCCGCCTGACCAGTTGCCTGACTGGCATTAGCGATCAAGAGTTTGACTCAGAAATGGGTTGTGAAGAAGGTTGGAGGCCATTGCTACAGGTTAGAGGCCAACGCTAACTATTGGGTTGGAGGCCATCACTAGTAAGTTGGAGGCCATCGCTATTAGGTTGGAGGCCATCGCTAATTATTCGGTTGGAGGCCATTGCTAATTATTCGGTTCGAGGTCATCGCTATATATTCGGTTGGAGGCCATCACTAATTATTAGGTTGGAGGCCATCGCTAATTATTCGGTTGGAGGCCATCGCTATAACTATTCGGTTGGAGGCAGGACAACGCTAACTATTGGGTTGGAGGCCATCACTATTAAGTTGGAGGCCATCGCTATTAAGTTGGAGGCCATCGCTAATTATTCGGTTGGAGGCCATCGCTAATTATTCGGTTCGAGGCCATCGCTAATTATTAGGTTGCAAGCCATCGCTGATTATTCGGTTGGAGGCCATCACTAATCATTAGGTTTGAGGCCATCCCTAATTATTCGGTTGGAGGCCATCGCTATAACTATTCGGTTGGAGGCCATCGCTAATTATTCGGTTGGAGGCCATCACTAAATTTTCGGTTGGAGGCCATTATTCGGTTGGATACCATCGCTAAGTATTCGGTTGGAGGCCATCGCTACTTATTCGGTTGGAGGCCATCGCTAATTATTAGGTTGGAGGCAATCGC